AGCCACGGTGGTCTAGCGGTTAGAACGCTGGCCTTGTAATCCTGGGGTCTCGGGTTCGATTCCCGGCGGTGCCGGAATTTATAACTTGTGTTGGGCAAGATCGTGGTCTAGGCAACACGGGGTTTTCCTCCGTGGCATCCCCACAATTACTCCATTCACACCCAGAAGAAGGCAATGGCAAACCACTTCTGGATCATCTGCCAAGAACGTATATGAACAGGTCCCAGTCCGAGAAAAGGATGGAAGGATCCTGTTCATATGGACCTGTCCTCAGACAGAACACTAAATAAAATAAATAAATAAATATAGTTGGAGGGGTGAGAGGAGACAGACTTCTGGATAGGGGTAGTAGAGGAAAGTTACAGGCTGAAACCAAAGAGTTATCGATCAAAGAAATTAATTAGAAGCTGTAAAATACAACTTTCAGCAGACCTTGTCACAGTATTAATTTTTTTTGCAACTACTTTATGAAGAACTTTTGCTTTACTTACCTTAAAATGCTTCAGTGTGTGTTGAAGAATTATACAAATTAGCGATCCATTTTTGTGCATGATGTTCACCACTTCAAAATTCTGTTTTAAATTTGTCAGATATAACCTCGAGAAGCATTTCAGCGTCACCATGATTATTAATATTAACGTATAACAACATAGTTTATAGAGAGTTTGTAGATATTTTTATGATATATTGGCACATGCAGTGGTTTATTAAACCAAGAGTTAATTTTTCATTTTGCAGTGTTGCCATTTTTTATTCTACAGAAACATTATTTTCAAATCCTTGCATACTTTCAAAGGTTTATTTTCACATTAAGTGATACAAGTGTTGTTTTCACAGTGTTGGTATTGGTGGTAGGAAATTAACCTTTATCGGCCGTGTAATCTGTATCGACATTCATAACAGTCCATCAGTTAGTTCAGTAATTACAGAGGAGCAACAGACACATGTATGTGATAAAACATGTGAAAAGCAGATAATAACAGTTTGATTCCACTAAATGATTGATGGCTAAGTTAGTTTTGTTACCAAAATGTATTCCTTTCAGGTCCGTTTTGTTTTAGAAAGTTTATATATTATTATATAATTTATATGTAACAGTGTAAAAAAACTGTTAGTGTTGTTTTTGGTTAAATTTGAATTTTAACACCTGTGCATAAAATTAATTTCTGAGCTGTGTCAGAAATTTTGCTAGAAGGTTTGGTTTCATGTGCTGACATGATGTGACAGGCCGTGATTGAAAGGTTGGAGGAAGAGAAGGGGTTGCTGATGCGGAGTGTGGACGTCAAGGAAAGTGCCCTGGAGCACTGTAGTACACAGCTTAATCTGTTAGCAGAACAGAAGTCTCAGATACAAATGGATCTCAGCACACAGTTGCAGTCAGCAACAGCTACCATTGCGCAACACCTTCCGTTTGTAGATTCTAGTGAGTACAATGATCGTAGTACAAGGATTGGCTATTATTAACATAAAGTAGTGGAAATTAAAAAAAATAAATGATTCTAGAAGTTTGTATTTCTATTAAAGTAGAAAATATTTTAGATTTGAGGTTCTTGCAGCGTTGAAGATGTCAGTTTCGGTCTTCTGGGCAGTAATTTCATTGGACTTACTTGTAGGTATGTACCGATATTTTGGAGAAACGTTCGGTGTTACTACTTAGAGACCAGCATTGATATAGAAAATATTTTTTCTTGTTGCTAAGGCATATAAATAAAATAGGATTTATGAGTGTTGTATAAGTTTCATATTAAACACTGTTTATTTTTCTAATAAGATTTAAATAACGTATTTTGTTAAGAAGAGTTGCACTGTGTTTTCTTACGGGAGAAGATGAAGTGTACGGTTTTATTTGTAAATTAAATGTGACGGTGAAGTTGCGGATAATGCAAAATGTATTTATTATAATGCAAAGAAAACCAGAGGCTCGTTTTCATGTGACATAAAGTCATGACATTTGAGGTCATGAAATCAAATTCCATGACTTACGCCACTGCGAGAACTGAAAGTCGTGATGCCATGAGATTGAGAGCATCGTTTCAACTCCAGTGTCACGTAATGAAACCAAATTTGATTTTTAATGAAATTTCTGTTGTAATGTCACATTGCCATGACATTTTGGCAATGCCAGTCAGTACATGAATGGCTGTGTTTTACTTTTTCAAGGTTTATTTCATGTGTGGGAATAATGGAAGACTCTGTGTTTCAACATAATTATTCTTTTAGAGGAATGTCAGAAATATCCATGCTTTTGGGAGAAAGTTAATCCAGATTTCAAAGACAGGCTGGTTAGGACACAAACTGATGTGAACAACACCTCACTTGATGACATGTTTTCTACTGACAAATGTCATGACAATTATTTGTCAAAAAACTCACAAAAAAAGGTCACACTATCATGACCACAAATATTTCAAATTTGAATATCACATTAGAACTAGTCTTGAGTCATGGTTTGGGGCATTATAAACACTTCATACAGATGGAAATTCTTATGTTTACGTTACCATTGACACATTTTACTGTATATATCATATACTATAATGTATTAAGGAGTAATTTTTCTTTCATAGACGTCGTGTGGAATGTAGTGTAAAGATATTGTAATTAGGGTAATATTGATTGACAGGATGTGGGGATCTAAATGAGTTGAACATTCCACGTCATGACCATAAGCAGCAGATCTATGCTCAGCATGTGATTTCACAGGCAGGACTTCATTTACATGACCTCACAGCAGCGCTGTCTGACTACCACACATACAGCGAACAGCGCTTGCATGCTGTATTTACTACTCTAAGCCCAGTGAATGAAAGGGTAAGCAGACAAATGTTTAAGCTTAAGAGGGAACCTAGTGTTGGCACTACTGTGATATCTCGGAAGGCCTGCCAAGCACACTGAAAATATATAGAAAGTACGAGGCGCGTCCTCAAAGTAAGTTTCCCACTCGTCCCACAGCTAGCAAACCTTATATTGCGCGAAGCGACTGTGCGTACGTGATAGAGCAATGACGTAGCATGGCGCATGCACTAATGGCACCTCCCGCGTTCTCACAGTAGCATCGTTGCAGCTGTTGAAGATGGAGGTTCTTATTCCAGCTCCCGCCGACTGTGAAGTGCGGCCAGTGATAACGCTAGGCCGCACACGGCTCGACGGACAGCAAGTCTCCTGCAGGAGACTTGCTGTCCGTCGAGCCGTGTGCGGCCTAGCGTTATCACTGACCGCACTTCACAGTCGGCGGGAGCTGGAATAAGAACCTCCACCTTCAACAGCTGCAACGATGCTACTGTGAGAACGCGGGAGGTGCCATTAGTGCATGCGCCATGCTACGTCATTGCTCTATCACGTACGCACAGTCGCTTCGCGCAATATAAGGTTTGCTAGCTGTGGGACGAGTGGGAAACTTACTTTGTGGACGCGCCTCGTATATAGAAAGTAGCTCTAGTGAGGATGTGTTAGGTTTAGGAAACTAACAGTGGATATCAGATTCCTTTCAGAAACAGGGCCTCAGACCATGAAAACCTTCCAGAATAAGTGAAATTGCGTGAGTGATTAATAATGGTTTAAACCTGTTGGGCTGTCATTTGACTGTAGTCAAATGTTTGTGCACTACCATGTAATGAAAAATTCAAGATAACTCTTGAGCTATACAAATACATTCATGTTCGGCTTCATAGTACTGCCATTTACCTTGTAGAATTTGAAGTTGTATGTAAATGTCAACATGATTTTATATATATATATATATATACAGGGTTTCCCAGGAGGAAAGGTCAATATTCTAGGAGGTCATAGTATCGGTCATTCCTAGCAAAAAAGTGTATGTGTTCATGTGTCCTATTCCGAACGGTTTCCAAGATAGAGCTATTTCACTGTACAGTAGTTTGGATTTGGCGCCCAATATTTTCCTTCCCTACTGGATGTTATCGCCCGCGTAAACGAACGTCAAGGTGCACTCAGGCGAGGAACGCGCCATGTCCTCACACGAGTTGCAAAGCGCTTTGATATTGACGGTGGTATTTTCGAAAATGTATTATACTAGGTAAACTGTACCAACTTTGTCACTTGAACAATAAATACCGGAAACAGTACGTAATATCTCTTTGCACAAAAGCGGGAAGAGAGATTATTGTTGCATAAGTGATCTTGGATCACATTAGTACTGCATTGGCCTATGTGATGTGGCACAAAGAACGCACTTGTAATGTCCGTACACTCCAAAAAGTACGCCTTTCCGGCCTTGTTTTGTTGAACATCTTGTTTGTGATTGTTATGAGTCTCATGTACAGTTTTCCAGCCACCTGAAAGAGAATGCAAGATTTCTGCGTGCCCTTGAGCAAGGCTACACTGACTTCCAAGCTGGACTTGAGAATGAAAACTGTTTAAGTCTGGAGACACTGCCTTCACTGCGCAAACTCTCTGACCAACTTGCAGCTTACACAGTCTACCTGCATCGTCTGTTACCGTATCATTGTCTCAGGTACAGTCAGTAATTTTCTGTGAATAACATCGTTTTGCTATTTCATAGCCAACATTGTACAAGTATCGTGGGTGCCAGGATATAGGGGAATTGAAGCGAGTGAAATCAAAGACCAGCTGGTAAAGATGCGTTCATTCTGCAGCACCTCGGAAAGAGCAGCTAAGTGGGCCATCAGGGACGTGTGAACAGAAAACGCGAGGAATACTGGCACTCCACACCTAGACAAAAACATGTAGCAGATTCGTAACATGCCTGGAATTTACGAATACTTTCAACGGTCTTAAATGAAACATGCAGTCGCACAAGGACAGTGCCGTGAGCGTCTTTCGTAATTCGTTGTTGTCAGAACAGTAATCTGTAACATTGGGATCGGCAGTTTATAAATAAACGCTTTCCTATGGATTTGTTTACACTGTTTTTATATTCATCCTTCCAAAATAAAATGGGCCGTAACTCTAAGATGAAGAAGCATCTAAGGACCCATGTTTGTACATACTTTTTTCCTTATCTTTGTGCTCAGAACATGTCCCTGAAATGGTGCCATGTATTTCATAAACACTGTAAAGTAAAGTAAAGTTTGTCCCACTATACGCCATGTAGGCGTTTGGGGTGAGTGGAGGTATAGCTCCTCTCTTCCTTGACCTCGGCACTAGATGGGGGTGAGTGGT